TGTTTCTCAACCACTTAAATTTCCAGACCTAATAAGAGCTTTTAAGCTCTTAATTAAAAAAAAAACACACTGAATCCTCTTATGTCTGACCGATTCAGAGTTAAGAGGACATTAAGAGCTTTTTTATTAAAAACAAACAGCCCCTTGTTGTTGTTTGTTTGAGATGCATATATTGCTATTACAATATTGGTTATGCATATAAAACCAACATTAGAGAGATGAATTTAGAAGTTTCAAACTCACATAAGAGAGTGACAAGCAAAACATCACACTTATGAACATAAGACTAATAGGATTTTGCACTCCAATAATATTTGTAGAGAAGTGTTGCCATAAACTCTGGGTGATAGAGAAGTGTGTGTTCAGAGTCTCAATTTTGATTTCATTATTTTCATGAAGATATATCTTGGAAACATCTTGATCAAATCGGCGTGAGGTTAGCTGTCTAGCTTGATTAGGTTCCTAACCCCTTAAATAATGTTTGTTTTGCCTGTTTTTATATACTGGGGGGATTTTTTCCGCTTTCTGCCATGGGCATCAGAAACTTCAAGACCGACCCGATACACCCGGTTAGTATTAAACTCAACTAATGCCAAACAAATAAAGACAAATTAATTGCATGAATACGTTTTGATATGTTGTATTTCAGTATTCATTGATCGATCTTTCATTTTTTGTTCTGGGTTTTATATATTTTTTTTGGAAACTAAGATTTTGATATTGGTTTGGTGATTCAACATTAGGGTTTCAAGAGATGCTAGTGACACAATGTTGCAGTTACAATGAAAGGTCACATGCCGACTAGAGTTTTCTCATTGGTGTTCCTTTTGACATTTGAATGTTGTTTTTGCTTGGATTCTGTATAGTACCCATGTTTGAGTTAATTGTCAAATTTACGTAGTTAAATGTCAATTTTTAGCTCATCACAAGTTCATGTAATAAACAACTTCCCCAAAACCCATGTTTAGCACATAATCAGATACATAAAATTACAAAACTTCCAATCACATCTTCCCTTTTCCATTACCCTCTAAATGTACCTAACCTGAAATGCACATTTTTAAAAAATAGATAAGGTTAAACCACAAGGTCTAGTGAGTAATTCCTTGATAGTTTTACATGATGAAAATCACCAAAGAATTTTGGAAAGTCAAACTTGAAAAGTCAATATAGGAACAATAGTTGTAGCACACCATACTGTGTGATTATTTCATGTTTATCGCACCACAAGAGTACGACAACTCAATTTAACGCACTAAGCATTAATTTATCACACCACAATGATGCGATAACCAATACTCATCGCATCACTAGGATGTGATAACCAAACTTCTCGCATCACTATGATGCGATAGCCAAACTCCTCGCATTACAAGAATGCGACAACATCATTTCATCGCATCAAACAGATGCGATAACATCATCTTTATCACACCGAATTCAAGTGATCAAATTCTCTTTTAAACAAAAACCATTGAGTATGTCACCCACAATCATTTACACCTCTCCATATTATGCCACCTTTATCCATTTTACACCTCTCCTATCAATTATGCCACCCTTATTCATTTTACACCTCTCGTGTCAATTATGTCACCCTTATCCCTTTTTACACCTCTCCTGCCGATTATGCCACCCTTATCCCATTTTACAACCCTCCTGCCAACCGATATCATCCCCACAATTGATAATACAATATCAAAACCCAATTATGCTAACAAATAGCAAATAGTGATACCTGAAAACATCCAAATTCGAAACACAACATGTTTCTTATAAAAAAACATTTCAGATTAAACTTTTAAAATAAAACTCATATTGATCACAATTAGATAGTATACTTTTAACCGACAACAAATTCAGATATTGAACACGAAATTATGTCTTCTTCTTCCTTTATGTTCGAACCGAGAGATCAACATAGACTTCACCACCCTTTTCTTTTTCTTCTTATCCCAAAACCAAAGAAAAGAAAAAGAAACAAAAACATATGCTATTCAGTCATAATCCAGCGCACGGTAGCTTCGCGCCACTGGCTTTTAACTTCACACCTTGTCTTTGTTGCATCCAACTTGACTTCGTTTTGGGACATATTTAGGGTCAAAAGTATCAGGAGGTCACAGGTTCAAATCCAAAGAGAAATAAAAACCCCCTTGTGGTCACAGAGGTTCAAATGCGGTGACTCCGGGCTATCTGCAAAGCAGGTGGTCGTTCTGAGATTAGTCAACTCGCATAGCGGGTTGGATATCCAGATTAATAAAAAAAAGAGGTGTTTGGTTTGATAAAATAGTTTTAAGGGATTTGAATTTCGTGGAAGGATTTGAAATTTTTGATGTGTTTGATTTATATGAGTTGAAACAGAATTAAATTCCATAGTCTATAAATAATTTATAAAGACAAATTATAAATAATTATAAAAAAGCTTGTGACGTTATCAATGTATGTACATCTTTGAGACACGAATCTCATAATAATTATGCATATTGTGCATTAAACATGCGCAAATGCAACTCGACCACAATATCTCATATGTGAACTGGCATGTCAGGGCCCCCAAGTAGGTACATGTTTTGACTAATTTGCAGTGCCCCATTGTCTGACTACCGACATCTCAATAATTGCATGCGTAAAAACCTTCAAAATATAATTCTACATATATGTATGTATGTTTAGAGAATCTCTTCAAAACTCATATTGACCTGATTGTCTTCGTTTTCACATAGCTTATATGTGTCATGCATAGATGCAACTAAGTATCTCGTCGAACCTAGGTACACACGACCTTCAACTCATTTACATTTATGAGATTTCGGGTAAGCTAGCTTGTTTGGGTTGGAATTGACCGGCTAAATAATTGTTTAAATTGTGGGAGCTCGTACCTTATGGGGAAAAAAAATAAATAATCAAGTTTGAACATCCGTCAAACATCTCCGGTGAACTCAAAACCAAAAATTTATAGTATCACGATGTGAACCACTATCAAATATATTGTTTCAGTTAAACATTGTGACCGCCAACTCTTTTATACACTATGGTCACCTATTTTTTTTTAATGCATTGTAATCATCTTGTGAACATAATATGACGCATTGACACTAAGAACAAAAAATGAAAAAAAATGCTAAAGATCCGAAAAGTATTGTGTAAGGTCTTGGGTACATATTGTTATCGTCTATTTTTTTTTATGCATTGTGATCACCTTGTGAACACAATGTTTATACAAGGACACTAAAAATAAAAAAAGAAAAACTAAATATATGTAAAAGTATTGTGTAAGAACTTGAATACATATTATGAATAATTAATTAATATTTTATTTAGTGGTTATGGATTTCTTATATTTGGAAGTTATGGATTTATTATCTATAGGAAGAATAAATTAATTAAATGTATGTGTGAGTTGACTTAATTATATTTTTAATTTATTTAATAAATAATATAATTATTTCAAATTAGTGGTTCAGGATGGATCTAATATATCTCACAAATTCTATGGTTCTTATTTGATCGCTCATATATATATAGGGAACGATCAAATAAAAACCACTCAATTTGTAAAAACATCATTCTATCAATCATAATTTTTCATTTTGTTCATATTTTTGAAATTATAAGAGGTTGATTAATTATTTTTATTGTGGAGGATGTTAATCCTGAATATTATCATCTTCATTATTTCAATTTTAGAGAAATGCATGAAACAGTTTCATTAAAATTTCATTAAGTAGTATATGAAACAATTTCATAACCATATATGAAACAACTTATCAAAAAAAGTATTATATGAAACAATTTCTCAAGATTAAACAATTTCATGAAAAAATTTCATAAGATTACGACGAATGAGAGTAGTTTTTACGGTTTTTACAAATTAGAGTGGTTTTTATTTTATCGCTCCTCTCTCTCTCTCTCTCTATATATATATATATATATATATATATATATGATTGGGTTCACGCGAGACCAACATGTTTTCGTGAGACCCGTGAGACCACATTTTTACACTTGAAACTTCACAGCAAAAACACTGTGAAAGTTACCTTAACAACATTTTGCTGTGAAGTTTCAAGTGTAAAAAAATGGTCTCACGGAAACAGGTTGGTTTCACGTGATCCCAAGTCTCTCTTTCTCTATATATATAGCCATAGGTTCATTTGAGAAGTGCTAAAAAATATATAAGAAATAGAAGTGATCCTAGCCTTTCCACTATTTTTTTTATTAACCTGGATATCCAACCCGCTAAGCAAGCCGACTAATCTCAGGACGACCACCTACTTTGCAGATAGCCCGAAGTCACTGTATTTGAACCTCTGTGGCCACAAGGGGATTTTTATTTCTCCTTGGATTTGAACCTGAGCCCTCCTGTTACTTTTGATATTTGGAGCCAAGCTCAAACCAATCAGACACCACCCTTGTGGTTTCCTTTTCACTAAATTTAACGGTCAATATTTGAGGGGCTAATTGTGCAGCACCAAATAGTTGTGCATATGTGAACCCATATGATTCACATATGAACTATATGTGCACATGTGAATCCTTGTGAATATAACAAGGACCAAGAATTTTACCCGGTAAGAGCGAGACAAACTCCAAGTAACAATAAGTGAGAGCGACGACTCTTACTACGGTTAGTGCTTACCGGGTAAATTGTTGTATAAGATATCACTTTTGTTGACTAAAATCTTATCCGGTAAGTAAATGATAATGTGGAATTTTATCGAGAAACACTTACCGAATAAGTATTTGATAAACAACCCTTTAGATTAATTTTTATGAGGTTCCTATGAAAGGTTCCATTACATTAGGTCAAGTTTCAACAACCTTAAGCAATGTAAATCCCTTAAGGAAACATTAAACATGACAAACATAAAACATCTAAGAGTCTATGGCTCAACAACATCGATAACTGTTATATCCCTACCTCCTTAAAGGTCAAACGTTCAATTAGTGAGAAGTGTATAATTCTACCATGTATAAACATCATATACTTCAAAAAGAAAAGAACAACAAAGACCCCTGAAGGATCTCTTGTACGTAATCAACTAATGTGCAGTGACAAGTTTTACATGAAGACGGGGAAGCCTCGATACCTCCACCAAGCTCTCCAATACATTCAGAATCAAGTAAACAACAAGAAACGGAAAAACACATACAGAAAAACCCTTGGAATCTCACTTAACTAAAAATGATAACATGGAAAATACAATGATCGATTCTACCACCACTTCCTCACAACCACTTCTTTACTATTCACATTTACGTTCACAAACGTAAACGTTGAGGAGGGTCTGAATCTATGCATAGCAAAATCCCACGTCAAAAATCGATGATAGGCTCCCCAATTGTAAGATTACGCTCCAAAACCCAAGGCAAGTCAAAGAGCTTTGCAGTTACGAACTTGAAGATTTTATTTACATTTATGTTGTAAGATGCACTCGAGAAGAACAAGGTTGCGTTTATGGCCTTCGCATACGTTCTTGCCTGTAAAATCCCAAACCAGTATAAAAACCAAACGAACACAGTAAGATCAAGAAAGAATATGACGTGTGCAGATCTTACAACCATTTAAAAAAGTAAAGAAACTGCTTTCGGTATATACAGATAAAAAATAGTTGCATTTGGTCACATTAATCACATTATGATTTGTGTATTGAGTGAAGGATGTGAGAGTTTGGTATGTTGATTGTGATTTTTTGTGACAAATTCAAGATTGGAGGTGGGAGAAAGGAACATTCTTTTAGAAGCTTGTGATGGTACCCCATCAATTTCATCATGAAAAGGTCAAAGGTTTTCACCTCATAAAGTTGACTTTTGAAGGTGTGATGTCCCAACTCCCTTTCAATCATAATGTAAAGTTGTGATTGAAATTTGTCTTAATTTTTATTTAACGTAACAAAAAATATTCAAAATTTCGTATCAATTTTAATCGGTAAGATATTATAATTAATTACATAAATGTTAATTTATTAAGTTATAATGAAAATTGTATCAAAATGAAACCAACTTTCTTCTAATTCTTATTTTGGGGAACCAACTTTCAAAATTGTTATTTAAGAGTCTCTATAAAACTTTTTGTTTATTTAAGGGTCTGGTTGACCTGTTAATGCTAACATCATCCAGATCTTTTATCAACAAAGATATTCTACGTCATATTAATTTTTATTTTAAAACTAATATTCCACGTCATACTTAAAATTGCAAAATAATTATAGAAAAATAACTAATTTTTTTTTTCAAAAATTATTGTAATAAAATCTATTTTTCATTCAAAATCTCGTTTTTTTTTTTTTTTTCAGATATCAAATTGAAGAATTTTTCAAAAATGGACTTCTTTACTCACAATTTGATATCTGAATTTAAAAAAAAACGAGAATTAGAATGAAAAATAAATTTTATTACAATAATTTTTGAAAAAAAAACAAATTTTAGTTATTTTTCTATAATTATTTTGCAATTTTAAATATGACGTGGAATTAGTTTTATAATAAAAAATTAATATGACGTGGAATATTAGTTTTAAAATAAAAAATTAATATGATTTAGAATATCTTAGTTGACAAAAGATCTGAATGATGTCAGCATTAACAGGTCAACTAGACCCTTAAATAAACAAAAAGTTTGATAGAGACCCATAAATGACAACTTTAAAAGTTGGTTCCCAAAATAGGAATCAAGTGAAAGTTAGTTCCATTTTGGTGCAATTTTCCCCAAGTTATGTTACAAAAATAACACAAATCTCACCTGGTTTGCGATCGTCCACTGTAAATCCAACGGAAGCTTGACGAATTCGTCAAACTTGCTCCCTACCATAACCGGTATCGCCATCTAAAAATGATTCGAAACAATTCGATTACTTGAAAAATCAACGAGAAAAATTTCCAAATGTAATGCTTTTATGATCATTTATGTTCACCTGATTATGATACCGAGCTTGCTGGTGCCAATTGATGACACTAATTGCAAACAAAACAATACGATCAGTATTTTTCAAAATATAAATTTAAAAAAAATAAAAGAAAAAGAAAATAAAAACAACCCGAAACATGTCAATACCTGTTAAGTGTACATCGACTCGTTAAATCGAACATGAATAATATGGCAACCGAGTCTTTACAAGCGGCGGGAATCGAAGTCCTTAAATCACCATCTACGTACGATCAAAATCGGTTTTTAGCGGATTATATATTGAGAATTAAAATTCGATTTCTCTACCAAGAAATTACCAAATCAAACACCATCACCAAGATATTTTCTTTAAAGGGAAATTGCATGAAAAAGTAACGTACTTTAACTTGATTCTTATTTTGGATAACGTACTTTCAAAACTTCCATTTTGATACCTAAGATGTAAAGTTTTAAACATTTAAGTATCCGGTTGAAACATTAACCGATTACCATGCTCTTGTGACGAGTGATGTATATCCGGTTAATACTTCAACAAATAATACTGAGTTGGATACCACATCACTCATCACATCGGAATGGTAACCGGTTACCCGGGTATTTAAATATTTAAAACTTTACATCATAGGTCCCAAAATAGAAGTTTTAAAAGTACGTTACTTAAAATAAGAATTTAATACGTTATTTTTTCATGCAATTTACCATTTTCTATATCATTCATAATGAATAATCATAGATATCATAAATAATTTTCATCATAAATATCTGAATATTTTCAAAATATTTATTTTTCTCCTTTTTGAATCTGCCCGATTTTAATTAATTAATTATTAATTAAAAAAATTAATCAAGAAAATGTAATTAAAAATTAATTATGACCTGGATAAAATGCATCACCACCCACTTCCCAGATGCTGTAGGAGATCCTGGCTCCTCTAACACAAAGTGTTTTATCCATTTGATTTATTCCTCTGTCTTTTAATTCTTCTTCATTCTTCTCTTTCCCAACGTACTTCGCCTTCAATTTCAAAACCAATTCAAAATATGATAAACAAGAAACAAGCAAATGGGTTGCTTTGAAATTAATTTCTGATTTCACTACTGATTTTTAAGAGGTGGTGCTGAAATCTGAAATCTGAAATCTAAATCAGTCAGACTGTTTGTTTTTGTAAACCGAATAATGTCTGGAGTCTTAAATCTGAATCAATAATTTGTTTTTATAACCAACAAAACGTATGAACATGTATAATTTCTGATTTCACTTCCGTTTATGTTCCCAAGATTCCTTTAATTCTTCGTTCTCCTCCAAATCAAGCCTTCCATCCTCATGGTTAATAAAAATAAAAAAAGGGGTTTCTTTGTTTGGTTTTGCCTAGAAGATGAATGGAAAGGGTTTCAAGATTTCAAGAAATGATAAGAATGAGTATTTTATAAACGAAAAAAGATTCAAGATTTCATAAAACTAATAGATTGCCCAGAAAACACCCATTCCTCTTTAGCATGTTTCTGGGTAATTGCAAGCAAAACCCCCCAATGCAATGCTCCAAGATTGATATAAAGTTCACAAAATTATTAAAAATGGGTATTTTCTGTTTGTGTTAGCCTAGAAAATGTACGAAATTCCTTTCAAGATTTCAAGAAAAGCCCCAATAAAGCAATAAAAATAGGTATTTCTTATTTTGGGTTTTTGCCTAAAAATGGTGAATGAATATGCCTTCAAGATTTCAAGAAAAGCCCCAATGGAAATGGCAAAAATGTGTCTTCTGGTTTTGGTATTCCCCAGAAAATGAATTGAAAATGTTTTCAAGATTTTATCATTTTAAGTAAAATGAGTGTTTCTGCTTGAAATATGAACCAAAATTTCCTTCAAAAATTCAAGAAATCCAATAAAAAAAAAACTACTTTATTTTCTTGAAAACATAATCTGACAAAAACAAAACAAAGCTTTTCCACAAAAAGCATATGAATATATGATGTGTGTGTATATATATATATATAATTATGGGTATATGTAATTACCAAGAAGCTTGTTTTGCCGATGTGTTGATCACCCAACAAACTGATCTTCAAAGCCACCAAATCGGAACCCTCTTTATCATGATCAGAGCCGCCGCAGGATGACGTCATTTCGCCGGAAGCGAATCCATCGCCGCTAGAGGCTGTCATTTCTACCGAAGGAAACTGGTGGTACACGGTGGCAACATCCATCGCCGTCGTTGTCCTTTCCGGCCGACGAGGACGACGATGAGAAGTCGGAATCAAAGGGCCGGAACCGGAATGCAATAAATGACGGTACCGGATAGATTTTCCGATCCAACAAGCAAGAAATTGGTGCCATAGAGATCGAGCACATCGCCGGAGAAGAGATGCACGCCAGAGGATGGTTTTCTTGAGGTCTAATCCCCACATTTTTCTGGTAATCTGATTCATATTTGATGCTAATTTTCTGAAATCTTCTCAAATTTATTCCTGAAAGTAAACCTTTTTCAGGGAAGAGATGGAGATGGAGATGGAGATGGAGATGGAGGGAGGGACCGCTCAAGAAGTGTGTTTTTATCTCTGGGCATAGCTTTTTAGTGAAAAGCTTGGCCACTCAAGTGCTTTTGTTTCAATTGTAGTTTGAGGTGGTGTTTATTTTTTCTAATAATATGTGTCTATATTATATTATAAAATATTTGATAAAAGTTCTTAAAAATAATTTTTTATATATAAAGTATTGTTTATTGATAATATTACTTACAAATTTAAGATTACAAGTACAACTTATTAAAACTATATGTCTGAATTTGTGTAAATAACTGCGAATATATATATATATATATATATATATATATATATAATCAAATAGAAAATAAACATCTTATTTTAAAATACAAAAAATCTAAAATATATTATTGAATTTTAACAGAATACTTAATTATTATTTTTATAAAAAAACTAGAAAAGTACTCGCACAATGCAACAAGATAAATCTTAATTTTAATGTTTAATTTTTATTCTTTATCACTATAGAGATAATACGATTTTATGTGGTTTTGAGAAAGCGATGTTTTTATTTTTGGTTTAACAATATAATTTTTTATAAAGATAATAATTAAAGATTATGTTAGAATTCAATTATTATCTTAATTATATTTTAGATTTTCTATATTTAAAATGAATATTTATTTTGTATTTGTTTATGTTTATCTACAGTTAGTTATGCGAATTAAAAAATGTAGCTTTAATAAGTTATATTTATGCAAAATTACTTGTATTCTTGAATTTTAAGTAATATGTATCAATAAACGGTACTTCATACATAAAAAATGGTTTTTAAGAATTTTTGTCAAATGCTTTATAATATAGCATAAATATATTATTAAACCTAAAATAATTATAATAAAAAAATTTAAATTAAAAAAAATACAAACAAGAACTTTTAAATAGTTAATTTGATACTAATATTGATATATTTTTTGTAAATTATATATGATATTTTCAAATTTATATTTTATTCAAAAATAAAAACATTTTCGCTTTCTCAAAACCAAATAAAATCGTATTTATATTAACATGGATAAAAAATAAAACGAAACATTGAAATTGAAATATGTTTCGATGCATTGCACGAGTACCATTCTAGTTTTTAATTAATAGTTTTGAAAAAGTTTACATATATCTTCACAAATTCTGAGTTTTTATATTACAACATTAATTATATTATTAAATTTTAGATAAAAGATTAACAAACAGTGTTCGTAATTAAAACCTGTATGAAACCCATCTCCATGGACACATCAATGTGAAGAACCCTTTTTGGCTCATTCGGCTGCTGAGGTTAGCAGGAGCCTGAGATCGAACCAATGACCTGTTTTATATTTTGATAAAGTCGTCTCACCCATTTGTCAATTGAGCTACATGATATAGACAATTATATTATTAAAATAAAATATTAATTTTCTCTTCTACATATTTGATTTTAAAAAATCTTGTTAACTATTTTAAATAACTAAAAGGGTACTCGCACAATGCAGCAAGATGCAACGAGATACATCTTAATTTTAATATTTCATTTTATTTTTTATCTCAGTTATAGTATGGTCTTATGTGATTTTGAAAAAACGATAATGTTTTTATTTTTGCATAAAATATAATTTGAAGATATCATAAAAATTTGACAAAAATATATCTATATTAGTATCAAATTAACTATTTAAAATTCCTATTTTTTGTATAATTTTTTAATTCAATTTTTTTATTATAATTCAATTTAGGTTCAATAACGAGTAATTTATATTTTGTTTAATAATATAATTTTCTTATAAAGATAATAATTAATTATTTTGTTAGAAGTTGATAATTATTCTAATTATATTTTAAAATTTTAAATTTTTAAAATTTTAAAATGAGATATTTATTCTTTATTTGGTTATGTTTATCTGTAGTTAGTTATACTAATTCAAATATGGAGCTTTAATAAATTGTACTTATGCATAATTTATTTGTAATCTAGAATTTTTAAGTAATATGTATAAATATACAATACTTCATGTATAAAAAATAATTTTTAAGAATTTTTGTCAAATAATTTATAACATAGTATAGATTTTTTCCTTAATTTTCAAAATATATTGAGGAATAAAAAAACAAAATTTTCTTTTTTAAAATATTTGTTGAGGTTTTTTGAAAAAATAAATAAAATATAAAAATTAACAACCGTTAGATTGACGAGGGCGACCGTAGAACAGGGACAGTTGACCGGTTATTGTGGAAGGCAAATATGATATCATTGGAATTAGAAGGAACCAAAATTTAAACCTGCTTTCCGCCTTTGCTCATGGGTAGCTTTCGGTTATTTCGACAATCCACCTTTTTTTTAATACAAATTCTCCCACGGGGTTTAAATAATTAATACCATAATCTTAACTCATTAAGTTTCATATATTTGATTAAGACATTTTTAAGACGTAGTGTAAATCTTTACACGTACAGCTTAATAGTAAAACACTGTGATGGACCGTAGAAGGTGTTGTGGCATCGGCTCGACGAGATTCAGGTAAAAAAACTCAAAATACGAGTTTAATAATGGACCGTAGGGGATGTAAATTTGGTATGAGTTGGGATTATTATTGTATATAAGATTTTGTAAAAAGTTTGGTGAAAGATGGTTGGGAAACGATCTCAAACGAAGGTTGTTCACGATAGTCGCACCAAGGGTGTAACCGGGATGGGCCTAGCGGTGTTGGACCAGGTTTTGGGTCGGGGCAGACACTTGTCTCGGTCGAGTTCGGTTAAACTCGAATTATTTTGATAAAATCGATATTTGTTAAAATTATATATGGGGCTCATTTATTTACTTGGATTAATCGAAATAAATCGGGATGTTTCGATTAAGTTGGTAAAGATTTGGACATCAAATTATAAAGAATACTAATTAATTGGGTTCCCACACTTAAATTATAAGAAATAATTTAATAACTTATTTCGGGAGTTGGGATTAGATAATTGTGGGATTGAACGTTTTTAAAACAAGAATCATATATGATTAAAAGTTGGGCGCGTCGTAATTTATATTGGACGTGAAATATTTCATGGGGGGTATATGGCGATGGGAATAAAAGTTTAGTACATCATTTTACAATCTAGCTAAACCATTGTATTTAAACAAAGAAAAATCAAAATGAGAACATACAAAAAAAAAAAACAAAAATTACGTAATAAATATTGAACGATATTCACATGAGACTTTCTACTAAAGCTAACAACTACACAAATTAATTTAAACTAAACAATCATATTAAATCCATATTACCAAAATACATCAGGTTCATCGGGTTGAGTTGGGTTTGGGTTGAAATTACCCTAACCCTATTTTAACCCAATACATATTTTCAGAAAATTTTACAACTCGATTAGATATTGAATCGTTTCAAGTTGGGTTTACCGAGTTAGTCGGGTTATTCTTTGAGCACCCTTAATCAAAAGGGGACCAACTTGGTGGGGAGATGCAACTTCGGGGCCGTTTACCAAACACTTTCCCGGTAAGTGCTTACCGATAAAAATTCAACATTATTATTTACTTATCGAGTAAGATTTTAGTCCACTAAAACGACATCTTATGCAACAATTTACCCGATAAGCTTCAACTGTGGTAAGAGTCGTAGCCCTCACTTACCGGGTAAAACTCATGGTTCTTATCTCACTCTTACCGGGTAAGATTCTTGGTCCTTACCATATTCATCCGATGAAATAACGTAACTTGGTAAGCACTTACCTTAGTAAGTGTTTGATAAACGACCCCATCGATGACTTAAGTATGGCATTTGAAATGGAAAATAGTTATATATTATTGAATGAATCATGAATATTAAAAGAATCAATAATACATGATATCATTGTATAGAATGAAACTATATTTTTATAGGCAATTAGGTTGTAGGCATAAAATATAAATGAACCACTTTTAGAAGGTGGGCAATTAAAAATTTGAAGTTAGTTTGGAAGTTAGCATTATGGTGTAGACCCAAATGTAGGGCACGTGGCAAACCTATATTAAAAGGAATTCATTAATAGACCCCTTTGCTATGTATAAAGATGTTCAAAACCAATTCCCAATTTAATGTGGCATAACTACTCTTTAACGAGATTATGCCCGACTTTTAATCGATTGTTCTTATCTGATATAATAACTGGTTTATAATATGATCGATGGTTTGAACTTGTTCTTCGTAAGAAAAAACACTAAAAAGAGAAAAAGTTGAACTCATCTGAACCATCCATCTATCCATCAAGTGCAATCCAATAGTTGTAAATACGATGTTTTTTAAAGTTCAAAAAATTAAAAATGGGGTGTTTGAGATTGCTTATAAAAAACAACTTATTGATTTATTTCAGTATGACACCGGCAATAAGTACTTTTGAGGGTTTGAATAAACAGCTTATATCGGTGCCAAACCGGTAATAAGAAGTTTTTGAAGAAGTTAAACCCTTTTAACTTATAATAAGTTGATAAGAACTTTTGTAGAAAAAACATAAGTTGTTTCAAATAAGCAATTCTAAATACCCCTTAGGAATGGTATATTTAAATACATCTATTTACTTATTTTTAATTTATCAATTAAAAGTAAACTTCTTTTTTAAATCTAAATAATCTTAATTAACATTTTAATTAGGTAAAAAGTAATTTATTATTTTCAATTTGATATACATGTTGATATTTACTTTTTATGTAATTCACATAGAAGTTAATGTGTTTTTTGGTAAATATAAATAATGTTATATTAGTTACTATTCACATGAGAATAACTCAACATAATATTGACATATCATATATGTAATATAATCGTCTTTTTAATTCTACATACTTATGTTGATATTCACATGGGAATAAATATATAAGTTCATTTATATCATGGGAAAATTGTATTTAAATGTATTTATTTGTTCATATTAATCAACGCTTTTATTGTAGAATATATTAATAGATTTCAATGTGTAAATGGGTTAAAAAAATGTATAGTGTTTATTTAATAACCGTATATGCACTAGTTATTCACGTGTGATGATGTGAATAAGAGTGATCATACAAAACAAAGTTTAACAACAAAATATTTCATATATATAACTTACGATTCATTCACATTATAATGTACCTTTCATTTGAAACAACCATGTGAGTTCTATGAACAATATGACATTGTTGTGTGAGTCTACTGAAGGGTTTTGACACGATCATGTGGGGACCTGGTAGCCCATATGAGTTCTTTGACATGTTTTGGCATGACCATGGTTTGTACAAGTAGTAGATGTCTCATGAATAGTAAAATACTTATATGGATGTGTGGGTTGTGGTATGTGTAGGTTATGTGCAAACATAGACAAGTTAGCTTACGCAAGATCATAGTGTGTCTTCATGCATATATATAGTTTTCAAGTATGATTATGTTGGTGCTTTGTTGTAGGTAAGAGAGTGCGAGAAATGGATTCAGTGACATTTAAGGGTTTATGAGATGAAATGATATATGAATAGAATGAATGGCTTGTCGATTTATAATACTTATGGACTTTCCTATGTGGTTGAAACCTTGGTGTAACACTCAAAAATGCTGGTATGTGAATATTTCGGGATATTACACCAGGTTTTGACCTTAGAATACTAATTTCTAAGTGTATGTGTGGGCTTATGTGTTGGAGTCCAAGAGAGTGTTCTTGAAAGCTTTGTACAGAAGTTCTGGAAGTCTAGCTTATGGAAGCTAAAGATTCGGGTTTGGAACCTAGGTTTAATTTAACCTAGCAATGTGAGTTTTAGGTTGTTTTGTGAAAACTTTGTATGTGTCAAAATTGTATATTTTGGAGTTTTAAAGTGTTTCCTTTGACATTTATCAAATTTGTTGATTATATAATGAAGTTTGCATATTTGGTACATTTGGTTTAACAAACATAGAAAAATTCATATGGGGTATTTTGATAAATAAATCATAAGAGTGTGTTCTTCTGATGATTTATTTTGTAAATGAAGTTTAGTTGATGGTAATGCACTTTTAGTGTATTTGAGTTGATGAATCGTTCTAGAAAATGCATTTTATTGACTTATGTTGGATTTTATTGAGTAGTTACATAAGTGTGGATTTATTGGTTTAAATTGCTCAATGTTGAGCTTTGGACATGATTTGCATATATTACACACTTATTTGGGAATTACATGTTTTCAATTAGTTGATCATTCAATTGGAGTCATGTAACTAGACTGTAATGCATTTGGATTCATAGGCATGTGAGCCACTCGTTTAATTAGTGAGGAGTTTTGATTTTCTCACTTTAAGACCAGTGCTCGAGTAGGCATGGTGGTCGTGTCGGTGTTGCGGAGAGGGACCCATGTAAGGTTGAACTCCATGACCGCATGTATTGCAAAGATAGACTCTTGCAGAGTCAGACTCTGGGACTCCAGGACCGCATGATTTGTTGATACCATTTTGGTATTGCGGAGGTGAACTCGCATAGAGTCGGACTCTGGGACCAGCAGGTCGATGTTTGTTGTTTAACTGAGAAGTTTTGATGTTCTTACTCTAATTTCTAGCGAGTGGTCACCAAGTCATAGTTTTGAGAGCTTGTGGTGGTACCCTATTGGGTAGTATACAGAGCTAGTATCTTGTGATTATACTATGTTGAGTCATATATGGAGCTAGGTCTTGCAGTGGTGCTCGTTGGAACCGTATACGAAAACTGGTGACTTTTGTGGTGAGACTCATCCAGAGGACGAGTAAGAATTTTGGTTACCCTTAGCACTCATCGGAGTCGTAACGGAGCTTGGGTCTTTTGGTGGTACTCAGTAGATCATATACGTACCCAATGACGTTGAGAGAAACTTGGTAACGTTGATGTATGACTTACTTTGTGCTCGCCACATTCGATGGATACGAGTCTCTCCCGTCACCGAAATGTGTTATTTTTGGATATTGTATTATCCATGTTTTCAGTGTTGTTTTGGGTTTGAAGAGTATCCATAATTTATGGTTCTGATATAATGAAACTTACCCATGTTTTGGTGTTTGGATACTTGAGTTTTATCCATGTTTCAATATTTGAATATTAAACTTTATTCACATTATGAGTGAGTATTGGGTTTGATTTCATATTTGAATGAGTGTTTTGATTTAGAGTTTTTTGACTTACAAAAATGGTGGGTTCTAGAAAAATGTTGCTTTTATGATAAAGACGTTTTATTTGAGAAATTATGATTTAAATGATCGGTCTTTCAACTTTACTGTTTTGTAATCATGATGAAAGCTGCTTAAGCCTAAATCTTTTTATTTTCCAACATGTGCATTGGGTCCTTGTTGGGGGAATGGTACTAGCGACACTGTAATGAGTCGAGTGCTAGTTAGAGGCACGATAAATAATTAACTATTTGAAGACATCTTTCGTACCTTGGAGATAACGTATGTTAATAGGTTTTAGTAACATCTGTCCCTAATCTAGACCTCATATAAGGTTTAAATTATTACTGGTTGATGTTAAATCCTAGATTGTCAGTATAGGTAATCAAGTCTTGACATTTAGAAAAGATTCCTTATCTGATATTTATGTTCACGTAGTTTATGTGGTATATTTAGGATACATAGTATGTTATGAATAAAGTTATGCACACATGGAACGTTTTGCTGGAGAATATTTAGATATATTCGGTATGTTGGGTTATGCCTTGTTTGGGATGTCGAAGATTAGTTACAGGCAGGAAACTGCAATCGTGTTTTAGTGTATATGATTCAGTCACCTCTACGCTTAAAAACAATGTGGGTGATCTATCACCGTGTCGTATAGATCAACATGGTGCATATAACACAAAAGACAGTTCTCATCGATACAAATATTATATATTTAAGTCTAGGGACTTGGAATGTCATTATGGCAAACGTTATGGTACAATATATAATTGTACCCAACATGTAATAATCATTACAAGAATAGTCCTAATGGTCACATTAATGGGTTATTTTCCAACATTTAAGGATTTGATATACATATTATTAGGGGCCGTTTATTAAACACTTACTTTGCAAGTGTTTACCGGATAAATTTTCTTATCGAATGAACATGAGAAGAACCAAGAATCTTACCGGGTAAGAGTGATGAGAATGATGGAGAGTCTTACCCGGTAAGTGAAGATGACGACTCTTACCCAGGTGTAGTCACTTACCCAGTAAATTGTTACATTCGATGTGTTTTAATATACTAAAATCTTGCCCATCAAAATAAATTATAGTGTTGACTCCTATCGGTAAGAGCTTACCGCGTAAGCAATTGGGTAAACGGCACCTTAGTGAACTCACGAGGCCTTTGATAGATTCAGACATGACTTAATTTTAATAGAAAATCAATAAATTCTAGCGAAAATGTATTGAATTCTAAGTGTGCCCTAATCTGTTGTTACCAAACATGTGTAGTTCACTTCCAACTGTTTGAAAATATACATATACAAAAGGCATGCAAGAACAGAACTTTCCAATTTAGGAAAGTTGATTATTCTGCACAACACCAAAAATCCCGATTCAAGACAGCGAAGCGTTATCCCCGTTAACTTGTCGCTTGTTTCGCTTCAGCATTTCCTTGATCTCGGCCTCTTTCTTATCATAAAAGTCGATCAGATCTTTGAAACTGGTTGAACGTAACGCTCGCCTCACACTCCGCCGAGCTGGTTCGGGTTCCGGAATCTCATGATCCACTTCTTCGTTGGGATTAAAACTACGGTATTGACACAACACTCGGCAAAAGTAAACGCTAAGCGAAATGAAGCATGCGATACCACAGATGAGGAACAGACCCCAGAAGCTGCTTAACGAAAGGCTGTTATCGTCGATTTCAGCAACTTGAGATGAGCAAGAACTGGATGCCAGCCATTTGTCGTGGATTCTTTGCAGCTCTCCGTTTTCCGAGAGTTGGAGGACGGCTGTAGATAAATCAAGCGCAAGAGGAGAATCCCTCTGAAATGCCTGAAAGGGTGAGGGGTGCTCATCAGGAAAGCTGCAAGATTCTAAAAATAGAAATCAAGATTGATTTCTTTTCTTTTTCTGAATCGATTTAACAAAATTTCCTATTTTGCACTCATTTTGACTGGTAACCTGTTGATCTTGTAACATTTGATGATATGTATACCCATTTAAGAAGTTTGATTTTGGAAAGTTTCTAGTTAGACCAAAAGAAGTCAAACTTTAATTATAGGTGAAGATTAGAAGCAAACTTACGAATCCCCAGCCGCTTTTGGTGAACTCCCGACCAACAATCTTGAACTCGCACTTGGTGTAAGTCATGAAAAGCTCGATATATGGAAGCTCGTCAACAATGGCAGCTACACCGCCACGTTTTGGACCAAGATGAAGGGCGTTCAAGTAATCCACTTTGTCTTTCAGTGATCTGATCCTAGATTCTGCGACGTTGAGCTCTTGGATCAAATAATTATATGCAAAAGATCCGTCTTGAACTCCAATGGGTTCGTTACTTGAGATCAAGCTATCTAAGCCCTCGATTCGTGAAGTCAACTGTTGAACGGTGAGGATCGAAGTCAAACTGGCTGTGTAGCTTGAATTGATGATCAACACAACAAACAGCCACAAGAGCAGAACTAAGCGCCCCAACGTGCTAACCGTGTTCTCCCCTGCACATTCGAGAATCCTACTCTGTCAAGTTTTCATCAACTAGACACATACCATAATATATATATA